GGCATAGCTTATTGTTCAAGGTAACGCTTTAATCTCCGAACATATTGTTCACATCTGACTACTATAGCTAGAATGCCATAAGAAGTGCACCTGTGAAGGGTATTATAGCTTCGGTGCGGCGGTGTTTGTTTAAACTACAGACATTTGAACTGAATTTCTTGGTTATTATTATAATATATTTTTTTTTTTTTGGCAACAATAAGCTGCGTGCAGTGTTTAATTTTTAGCGCATCCGTAAGCTTATGCTTAATTTGCGCCCTTTAACAATTTGCGCGTCAATCAATTCTTCAAATTTTGCAAGCTTTCTTCCACTAATACTGTCCATTAGTTTGCGTTTTTTCTAATTGCTTGTGGAAAAATATTTACCACTTATGTGTTATTTTCTTTATTTTGCTGTTGCTGTAATTGCCGTTTTTGTTATTTATGTTAATAACGCCTTTCATTTGTGACTTCCACGAATTGTTGACATTAACCATTCACTCAAAGAGCAACTCGGTGCTTGTTGTGCATAGCTGAAATTGTTGTTGTTGTAATTGTATAATTGCGAACAGTAAAAATAACAATTTGTACAAATAAAATTACATTTTTATTTACTTATCTGCTCATTCGCATGTTTTGTAAATACCTACTAGTTTGTTATTATTTTTTTATTTTTATTTATTTTTTTTTTTTGTTTCTTTGGTTTTATAGTGTGTAATGTAAATTCGTTGTGGGTGTTTAACACACTGCAATTATGTATGTATGTCGCTAAAAACAAATTCATTTGCTTCGCTAAATAATTTAAATGCGCATAGACGCAAGCTTTGCTCGCACTCGCAAATGCATGCAAATGTGTGTATATGTATGGGCCTGTTTGTTTTAAAAGGGTCCATAATGTAGTGTTTTGAACTGCGAATTGGCTGCGCTTCTTCATAAAATTTAAGAAAATGAAACTAAGCCGACCAAAAATAGTTTATAACGAGTAATTCATGACTGAAAGCAAACCAGTCAGAAGACAACCAAACTTGCACTAATTCGAACCAATCTATATATTATATTTATCTACATATGTATATGTATATAAAAAGAAAGTGTGTGTGTATGTTCCGTGTAGGCTCCGAAACGGCTGGACCGATTTCAAAAAAACTTTCAGGAAATCTTTAGATTGACCTGACGAGTAATTCTGTAAAGCTTGATGACGATCGGAGCACTTTTCTTTTTAAACTGTCATATTTCTTTTTAAACTGTCAAATACAGTTTGTATTTACTATAATGATATTCTATTGCTTTATAACCCAAATTTGTGTTGACACATGCCTTGTGGATATATGTATATGTCATTATAAAACATATTGAAGTACAATGGAGTATATTGAAGTATAATGAAATATAATAAAATATATTAAAGCAAATAATTAAGGATTTTTAAGAATTCAAGGTTTACTGATGCGTTTTAAGTGGATTATTACAACGGAAAATTGTATTTTTCTTCACCAATCATATTTCTTCAAAAAATTAGAAAGTATTGGTAAAAAAACCTCCAAATCAAAGAAAGTTAAGGAAAAAAGAGGAAATGAAACAGCTGAGGAACGTGAGTTACGCCTTGAGAAAAATCGTAATACAAGAAGAAATATGGAAACTGAAGAAGAGCGTAAATCACGGCTTTAACAAAATCGTGACAAAGAATCTTCATCACGAGCTACCGAGACAATCCAATTTAAATGCACTTAAGTTATGCAACGGCACCAGATTAACAATTAAAAAATTGTCACCGAATTTAATCGAAGCCACAATCATCGGTGGTAAATTCAAAGGCGAAGGCGTACTGATTTCACGAAAACTGATAATTTCCAACGATTTACCGTTCGAGTTTAAGAGGCTCCGAATCCCCTTTGCGTCTTGCTTTTGCAATAACTATTAACAAAGCACAAGGTCAATCGTTGACTATCGCCAGTTTAAATTTGAAGAATTCGTTTTTTTCACCCGGCCAATTGTATGTCGCTTGCTCCCGAGTCGGCTCATCTAAAAACTAGCCTTAAGATGAGTTTTAACGAACTTATGAGTCTGTTGTGTGAAATGGTTATCGCTCATATTGTATATATTTATAATTACAAGCTTTTTGTGTTGTTAATTTAATTTATCTTTGCTTTTTTTATTCATAAATTGAAACAAAAGACTATCTCTAGACTCTGTCTATCATTTACATGTGATGAAATCATTTTAATTGGTTTTAAATAACTAGCAAAGTACTTTATCTTATTTATATCGTTTATATTTATCACATACTAATTTATTATTATTTGAATTTTTTAAAAAAAATAAAATTACATTTGATATTTTATTGTACCGATGCCCGATATGCTTTTGTATCAATGACAAGAATGATATTCTATTTACTAACATGTATGTATATGGGTGTAGGTAATAATCTTCACCCGCTCAAGAAGAGAATATAAGAAAATGAATATTAAGGTAATTGAAGAGATAAATTAAATATTTAATGTTGTAATTTTGTTGGTTAAAAAAAATAAAGCAAAATCTAGCTCTGGGCTGGGTACGCTAATTCACTATAATTCTTTTAGATATTTTGAACATAATACTGTTTTTTTCCTTTGCAGAAACTGAAACTGTACAATTATAGTGTTTAAAATACTTTTATATCAATTTTGGTTTACTCGTATATTTCTTTCCTGTACTTATTCGCAATTAACTTCTCTTGAGCTTAATGCATTCCAAATAAATTTTGTGCAATCGGATGCTGGGATTATTGTCTTATACAATACTACTACATGTGTCCGATTTACAACACTCACCAGCTTATCACACTTTTGTTTCTAATTATACTTCAGACACTTAATTTAGATATTGTATCAAAAAGAAGAAAGATAATTCATAAACACTGCAATCGAAATTTTTATCGGGGAATTTAAAAATGCAAAAGCCGTCTTCGATTCGCTATTTCTCTGATCGCTATACTTGCGCACTGCTCTCTTATCAAAAAATGTACATGTAAAAGCAACAAAAGAGTTACCGAGCTAAATTGATACAAAAGAGTATGCGTATACCTCATTAAAGTGGGATAACCGCAGTCTTCAATGCCACCAAGTTTTATTTTGCATATTTTATACCAGTGTTACGATAACGATTGTGAATGGCTCCTACAAAAATATCCTTTTAAAATAAAAAAAAAATTTTATTGATCTGACTTGAACCTTGAAATGTAGTAGTTGCTTACCAAAAACGTAAGCCTCGAAACTAAGAGGTAACTAAAATGCACTCACACAATTACGTTAGAGGACGTGATTGAACAGGATACAACGAAAAGACTGCCAGTTGGTTTGCTGCAACTGGTATAGTTTGTTCGATTCACGACTTTCCAGAGTTCAAAAACGGAGACAGCTAATATAACTTTTCAAATTGCGACAAATCGAACAAAACAACTGGTATAAAGCAAATAGATGGACGTAATGGAACAGAGCTAGAATCGAAAAAAGTTATGTATTCACCTATTAGAGGATCCGACATCATACTTAGCGATAAACCTGCAATGGGTTCCAGGACATAGTGATATCCCTGGTAACTGCGAAGCAGATGAACTAGCCAGAACTGGTACCACTTTGCAACTAACCCCTGAAAAAGAGGGAAATTTCATGCCTCTGGGAACTTGCAAACACTTAATCAGCGAACATGCTGTAAATCTAGCTGATTCTCGGTGGAGACAAACAACAACTTGCTCTACTAGCAGACGAACGTGGCAGGATTGGAGCGTGAGTCGCACAAACCGATTACTAAAATTCAAAAGGAATGACATAAGAACTCTGACCTCCTCTGAACTCCTTACAACGACTATTGTGGGAGCTGTCAGGAAGTAGAAGAAGAAGAAACTGTAAAATATCTTCTATGCGAATGTAAGGCTCTATACAGGAAAAGAATCGCAACTATCGGTCGGGGATTCCTTGACGACGTATCGGAAGTTGCACATACTTGTATACAACTATTTGTACTGATGAGCATCATCAGGAGAGCAGGGTGGTTCAGAGATGAGACGAGAGAGTGACATTATTCCCGGCGGTATCACAATGGGCCTCCTATAGGCCTAGGTGCGTCGTTAGACAGCCACTCTACCTACCTACATATCTACCTAAATATTAAATTTTATTGTTTTATTTAAAGAAGAAAATATCTAACTGAAAAGTGTTAGTATAACGAGAAATATTAAATTAAATCAAAAATAAATTATTGCTCTAAGAAACCGCGCACGCCTTTGCATTTCTAACTAGAACTCTTAAATCAATGATAAGAAGACATAACAGAAATAGTTTATCAAATCGAATTAAAACCAATCGCTATCCATTTAATTGAATTGGAAGGGCGGATCCAAAATCACGTTAAACTCACAATAAAACTACACCGCCACATCTACACACATACAGAAACAAATTATAAGAAAATCAAAATGCAAATTACCGCTTATAAGCAAGCAAAAGTTCGGAAAATGTGCGAACATCGCAATCCAACTATTAATTTCGCCAAGCATTTTAAGTGAATTTTCACCTGGATTTCCGTTGGTTGGCCAATGAACTGGCAACCGCGAGGCAACAATACGTAACT